TCCTGCTTCAAAACTTACTACAAAGTTACAGTAATAAAGAGAATGTAATACTAGTTCAGAGCAGATATATAAGTAAATCAATAAAATGAGAGCACAGGGACAGACATCACATTTATGATTAGAAGATTTGACAGAGTACCAAGACGACTCAAAGACAGTCTTTTCAAGAAGTACTGCTAAAACAACTGAATATCCACATGTAACAGTGAATTTTGATCCCTTATTCACATCAGAAACAATAACTAATTCGAGATGGATCAAAGGCCTAAATTAAATATACAACATAAGACCAAACTTTTTGAAGAAAACTAGAGTAAATCTTTGTGATCTTAGACTTACCAATGTTTGCTAATGATGACACCAACCAAAGCAATAAAAAATAAATCAGATAGCATCAAAATTTAAAACTTTCATGCTTCAAAGGGTACATTTAGAAAGTGAAGAGAGCGGCCATAGGTTTGGAGAACAGTTTTAGAGATCCTGTAACTGGTAAGGAGCTTGAATCTAGAATATATAATGAATTTCAACAACTCAGTAAAAGAAGACAAATAATGCAATTAAAAATGAGCCCAGAATTTGATTCTGTATTTCTCCAAAACAAAAGTTACAAAAGGCCAGTCAACACAACAAAAGACAATCCATATCCTTAGTGATCAGAGAAATCCAAATGAAAACCACAGGTAATACCACGTAACTCTTAAAATAGGAACTTAAAATGACCAGTAATTCGTTTAGAACAAAACAGACACAATTAGTGTTGGCCATGAAGTGGAGAAATGGGAACTCTCATTCACTGCTGGTGGGAATGGAAAAAAAGAAGACAGTACAGTTGCTTTGAAAAAGATCTCACACTTCCTCAAATAATGACACTTAAGATCTACCATGTGATACAGCATTTCCACTCCTAAAAGGAAAATAGGTCCACCCAAAAACTTGCACACAAACACTTATACAAGTATATAGTGATCACAACAGCCTAAAAGTGGAAATAATTCAAATGAGTAAATGACAGCTACAAGAAATGTGATAAACCTTGTCTTAGTTACGTTTTTCTTATTGCTGAGTCAAAATATCCAATGCCCAAAGTTAAGGGAGGAAAGGTTTACTCAGCTCACAGATTACCAGGTTTCAGTCCATAATTGGTTGGCTCCAAGGCAGGATGGCACATGGCAGAGGGGCAACAGTTCATGGTGGCAGAAGACAGTAAAAGCAACAAGACAGATAAGCCTCTTTCTGTCCCTTATGTTATATGCAGGCTATCTGCCCCAGGGTGGGTGTAGCATTCACAGTCTTAATCCCAGCACTGGACTATGAATTAATCACAAACTCTAGAAAGCCTAAGACTGCATGAGGTTTTTGGGGAACATCTAGATATAAACCATAACGTTCTGCTCTAGTGCACCAAAGACTCATGTACATTTCTTTACAAAAAAAAGTACTTAGTCTATCTCTAAGAACTGCCAGAATCCTAAGAGTGTCAGTACTGTTGTAAAGTCCAAATCAAAAGTCTCCCTTCAGATTTAAGGCAAACTCTTAGTTTTGAGCCCCTATACAAATGAAAAGAAAGGTAAACTCCTCCAACATTCAATGGCAAAAGATAGACATTTCCATTCCAAAAATTACAGACAGGATACAAAGAAATGAGACCAAAGCAAGTCCAAAATCTAGCAGCACAAACATTAAGTACTGTGGCTCCACATGCAGCATCCAAGGCAATCTGTGGCAAGATGTGCACTCCAAAGGGCTTGGATGGCTCTGTTTCTGTGGCATTTCTGGTGGTCATACCAACCATGATCTCTCTCTTGGGCTTGCTTCACCCCTCCTTGTAGCCTTCGTTAGATGACCCAGGTTTCTGGCTTCTGCACACTTCTGGGATCTCCATGGCACCTTTGGCTTCACATTCACAGCGTCACACACTGTCCTCTCCGGGCCATACTGCCTGGACTTTCAGGCCTTTTTTTGACATCTGGGTGGAAGCCTTCCTGACCCCACTGACAACTCTTGCATTCTGCACACTCCTAAAACCAGCACCACATGGATGATGCCAAGGTCTGCTGCCACCTGGAGCAGAAGCCAGGCTTCCCTCTGTGTCTTGGGTGTAGGGATCAAGTGCCTAAATCCCTGGGTAATGTGAATCCAATTCTGAGCGACAGATTTCCCAAGCCACCACCATTCTGGATCATTGTGCTCTTGAGCTTTTCTTCTTAAAACAAAATTTCTCACTTTTGTAATTTTGAGGCTACAAAATTTACATGGTGGAGTCATGCTACTTCTTTCCTATTCTTGTTTCTTCTTAGCAATCTAGACCTCTGCTTTATCTTTGCAGTCCACAGCACTACTGGAGCTTCCCTTCTGACCAAACTCACAATGTCTTAAATTATTCTGTTGGGCTTTCTGCTCTTGATTCTCAACACAGATAATGCTAAAAGCACGAAACAGTAGCTATGCCACTGCCTCAACATTTGACTGCCTTGAAATTTATTCTGCCAGATGAATTAGTCCACTGCCCTTCATCTCAGTCTCAGGTAGTCTCTGGACAGGAGCAAAATTCAGACAAATTTTCTGCCAAGCTATAAGACACATGATCTGGAGTCTAACGAACAAGGCAGTTCTTCCTAGGAGAAATCTCCTAAGCCTAGTTTTTACTGGCAGGATTATTATCAGTCTTCTGAGCTCTGATCCATACTGTGTATTCAGACCTAGAAGCTCCCATACTGTTCAGTCTAAGGTATTCCAGCTCTACTTTTCCAGCTGACATCTCCACACCTTTTCAAACTCTTCCCACAAGACAAAGGCTCCTGAACCACATATTCAGCAACAATTCCACTTCTTTGGTACCAAATTCTTAGTTTCTCTTTTCATTGCTGAGACAAAATATCCAACATTCAAAAGTAAGGACGTAAACATACATGTAGCTCACCGTTTGTACAGATTTCAGTTCATAATCAGCTGGCTCCAAGGGTAATACATGGCAGCGGGGCAACAGTTCATGGTGGCAGAAGACAGCAAAAGCAGCAAGACAGATAAACCTCTTTCTGTCCCTTATATTGTATGCAGACTATCTGCCCCAGGATGGGTGTAGCATTCACACCCTTAACCCCAGCATTGGACCATGAATCAATCACAAACCACAAACTAGATTCACCCACCTCTGAATAAGCAGGAAGCATTAGGGGGACATCTAAACATACACTATAACATATCAATACAATTCAGTATTACTCAGCAACACAAACAAATAAGGTACTAATGTAAATTACTGTATAGGTCGCCTTGAAAGCCTTATTCCAAGTGCGAGAAGGCTACAAAAAGGGCCACATACAAAGCTGACTGCGCTTCTGTGAGACATCCACAATAGGCAAATACATGAAGACTGAGAATGCATTAGGTCTGGTGAAAATAAGGAGTGACTGCTAATGGGGGTGTGGAATATTTGGGGGGTAACGGAAAGTTCTAAAACTGTTGTAAGGGTTACAGAATTCTATGAACATAAAATCACTGAATTGTACATTCAAATCAATGAAACAGTATATGAATTATATCTCAAAACTATTACAAAACTGTAAGAAAAAAATTCACAATCTCCCTTAAGTGCTTCAACATTTTTCTTTAGTAATTATAGCACCAAAATTAATATCAATTTATATATTTATACTTATAAAAAACATAAAATATAATTTTATACTTTTTAAATTGGTGAAGAGAAACTTCATTTTTTCCCACCATATTAATTTCTTTCTAGGAAAGACACCTAGGGAGCAACTGAAATAATAGACACTTCTTAGAAGCAGTACAAATGGCCAATAAATCTATGAGAAAAGTTTCAACATTCCTGACCATTACAGAAATGCAAATTAAAACATCTTACTCCAGAAAGAATGGCTATCACTAGGAAATCAAATAGTAACAAACATTGGTAAGGCTGCAGGGAAAAAAGCAGCCCTTCTACGTTGCTGGTACAAACATAAACCAGTAGAACCACTATGAAAATCAGCATAGAGGTTCCTCAAAAACCTAAAACCAGAAATTCCATTTGACTCAGCTCTGTCCCTTCCAAGTATCATCTCAAAGAGTTAAAGACCTCATACTGCAGTGATACACGTACATCCATGTTTATAGCAGCACAATTTGTGACAGTTAAATCTAAGAGGCCTATATCCCTAACAAATGGATAAAGCAAATGTGTATTTATATACAACGGAGTACGATTCTGCCATAAAGAAAGAGAAACCTGAAGCGTTTCACAGAAATGGATGCAACTTGAGACAATATTAAGCACAGTCAAGACACACAAGCTTAAATCCTGCATGGTTCCTCTTATAATACACATAAATATGGAGAAAACAGAAGATTAATAGGAAGAAGGGAGATCTTTTTCAAACAGGGAAATAAGAGGGAAGGGGAGAGAGGAAAAAGGGATAAAAAAGAATTGAAGGAGAAAATGATGAAAATAGAGCTTTTTCAAATGGGAAGAAGACCAAGAGTTGTAGAGAATGGGCAGTGGTAGGGGGCCAAAAAAAGAGAAAAATTAAGTTGTGTTATGTACACATACCACTCCCCATGTTTATCATTTATTGCAACCACTGTGTACTTCAAACATGTACAAATAAAAAAAATAAATATCCAGAGAGTATTTAAGTAGCACACAAAAAACAAAAGGAGGGGAAGGATATAGTAGTGTGTTCACATGTGGGAGTCCTAGGTTTGATCCTTAGTACCACATGTAAACACACACACACCAACAGGTAAGTCACAGGGGCTTTCATTATTTCATTGATTGCTCCTTTAACTACCATTACAATATTTTTCTGCACATCCCTTTCTCAGAATGCAAGGCACAATTTTCACATTGTGTGGTTTTATCATTTAAATAAGATTTGTACCAGCAAGCACAAACCATAGGCTTTTTTAAATTTCCCACTGAAATCTACACAGCATCAATCAGGCAGGTATATTTTTAATGTAAATGTCTAGGAAGACACCTTCCAGACACAAGTTACCTGATCAATGCCCTTTCCCTTGCACTGAAGAATAATGACTTCCAGAAGTTTGGCGGCGTGACATTCAGCGTCTTCCCCTGCATCTCCACACAGGACCTGAGGGGATCACAACACGGTCAGCCCTGAGTGACAAGATTCCCATACAAACTCAGTCACAGGAACTGTGGGTTTCAAGTTCACCTTGCCAACCCAGAGAAGGAAAGTTCAAGACAAGGGCAATCTACCTGTTACATATCTACCGTATCTCCTCTAATTTCTTAGAAAATAGAAGAATTCACTTATTTGACTTTGAATTAAAAAGTAAAGCTACACAAGCTATAAAGTAAGCTAACTGTCCAGGTAAATGAAGCTTTCCCCTAAAATCAGCAAAGCAAAATACAAAGAAAAAATAATCTTTATAAGCAATTAAACTCTTTTCTGTTCCTTCTGAATTCTTCATAAGTATCCATGTTTCCATTTTTTTTTTTTCTTTTTTTGGTCAGTTCAGAGATTGAACTGACAACCTCAAGCCTGGCAGGCAAGTGCTCATGCCACTGAGCTAAACTCTCAGCCACTATAATAACTGTAAGTTGACATACCTTTCAATTTCCCCACCTGGACTTTATAATTAAATATCTTTTCCATTATTAACATAATGAATAAGTACTATATAACAGAAGCTAAATTATTTCTGTTACTAGACTGTTATCAAATTCATATTTTCAATATTATAAATAATTCTACAATGTACAAGTTCACACATAAAATTTAGAATATAACTTACTTACATATTACAAATTAAGAAGAATGGAAAGTTAGTAAAGAACCCAAAACAAAAACTTAGGAACTAGATAAACCCAAAGAAACAGAAAGAACAGAAATTTATAAGCAAAGAAAGATGACAAAGAAAGTAAAACAAGATTAAGTTTATTTTCTCCTTGTTTCTCAAGTTTTATTTGTGGGTTTTTGTTTTGTTTTGTTTTTTGTACTGGGGATTGAACTCATGACTTTGTGCTTGCCAGGCAGGTGCTTATGCCACTGAGCTAAATCCCTGGCCTAAACCAGATTAATTTTAAAAAGACAATGAATCAGCTAGCTTTTGCAAAAATTATTTTTACAATGCAAAGAAAGCAAAAATTTTAAATATTAGGAATGCAAGGAACAAATACAAATTAGAAATATGCGAACACTATGGAGACCTCCATAATCTTTATACATTTTAAACTTAAAACACTGGATAATTGCCTAGAAAAATATAATTTAAGAAAACTGAATTAAGGGGCTGGGGACTTAGCTCAGCAGCATAAGCGCCTGCCTTGCAAGTGTGTGGTCGTGAGTTAGATCCACGTGGTATCCATTAAAAAAAAAAAAAAGAAAGAAAGAAAGAAAAGAAAACTGAATTAAAAGGAAATTCCAAACCAGGCAGGACACACCTATAATCCTCATATTTGGGAGGCAGAGGAAGAGGGATCACTGTGAGTTCAAGGCCAGCCTGGGCCACATGGTAAACTCAAGGTCAGTCCGCACTACATACAAGACTGTCTCCAAAAACAAAAACCAACAAACAAACTAAAAACTAAACAAAACAAAACTTCTAGATAAAGATGACAGACTGAAGTTTCCCATTTAACTTTACTTCCTCCCCAAGGCCATTAAAAGCAATAAAGGCAATAAAAGTTTTGCAAGTTGGGAAGTAGTAAACTGAATCATAAGCAGATGATCAGCCCTGTTTACGTAACTAAAATTCTGCCTTTAGAGCAGGGTGTGAAGACCTGAAGCAAATAGGCTTGGCATCAGCACAGTTCTACCACTTGTTAGCTTGTTTTTAGAAAAACTATTTAAACCTCTGTAATTTACTGTAATTTACTGTAATTTACTCATCCATAAAACAAAGATAACAACTATCATTACGTACTCTGTGGTACTGAGTCAAAGACAAAGAACAATTCATTCTCTTTCCCCAAAACTGCACCCACCACTTGAGGGCTTGTCTGATGAATTTTTGTTTGCCAGTACAGAAAGGAACAACCTAAATCTAGTAATTAAAAGTGGGGAGGCTCTGGAGCTGGCTTACTGGGTGCAGATCTGCCCCCAACACACAGGAGTTACATGACTTTGAACAATCTCCTCAACCTCAGGCACAGTGAAGAAATTATAGCTCACATTATAAATATCCTCATTATAAAAACGTGGCACATCCCTCCTAAAATAAGTAAATTAATATTTAGAAAGTGCTCAGAAATACCTGGTCTATTTTAAGAATTAAGTATGAACTAGTCCTAAACCCAACATATGAAATACATTTTAGCAACGTTTTTTAAAAATTTTTATTTATTTATTTTTGTCTTTTTGTTTTTTATCGGTACCGGGGATTGAACTCACGACCACACACTTGCAAGGCAGGCACTTACACTGCCACGCTAAATCCCCAGCCCCCCATTTTAGCAACTTGATAAATGTAAGGATGTCCTGAATACTAGTTACTTTCTCCCTTCCTCTCACTTTCTCTACAACTGGAGACTGGGTTAATGGAAGAAGATGGGTTATCACAGAGCTATGTGAGTCTTTTAAAACACCATCAAATCCTTTGGCTTAGACATGAAATTTACTTCCCAAAATTTTACAGACTTTTTATAACCCAACTGGGTCCTAAGCCAGGTATACTACTTCAGAGCTCTTACCAGACCCTGGAAATACAAGTCTTCTAGTAGATCAATGAGTTGTACATTTGCTATTTTATTTCCTACTCTACAGCAAATTTTTTTAGTTTCTGACTATTTGAAGTTTGTAAAATCTGCCTGCCTTCTCTATGAAAATTCAGTTTTATATTTTATATGTACATACACTAAGAGGAGAGGAAAATATGTAGTCATCAAAGATCCTGAGATGTAACTGACAGTGAGGCAAATCTTACCTGTGGCAAAGACACACAGTGAACAATCACATGTGGATATAAACAACATGTATGATAAGAATTACAATTATCCTGTATGCATTAAATGGAGTTCTTTTCCAACTACAGTATCACAATTGTTTTGTCTTATATTTTTATGTTCAAATTACCTACATCTAATGGATTCGAATATATACACTGACCTAGAAGAAAAAAGATTAGTGCCCTTTGGTCATAGGTTGACTAACTGGTTAAACCATGACTTAAAAGTATACAGGAGGGTAGACACAAGTTCTGTGCAGGTCCTTTTTTTCTTTTCTTTTTTTTTTTGGTACCGGGGATTGAACTCATGAACTTGAGCCTGCCAGGGAGGTGTTTATGCCACTGAGCTAAATCCCCTGCCCTCAGGTCTTTTTTTAAAAGGACCTGAGCATCCATGGATCTGGGAATCCAAAGTGCTGGAACCAGTTCTCATGGATATCAAGGAATGAGTATAGTTACTTTGAAAAATTAAAAAGTACACAGATATTAAAGTGCTAAGCATTTTAGACACAACACATATCCTGAAACTTTCACATTGCAATAGTTACAAGCACATTCTAAGATGCAAACTGATAAATGTATGTTGAGAAATGTAATAAGAGACTACCATGAGAAAGAAGTTGAAACCCCCCATACACCAGCAAGAACACTGGCACAACTGACAAGAACATGCTTACCTTTCTACACATTGTGAAAAGGACTTCTAAATATTTTGGACTTGAGAGTAAGGTATTTGTATCTATTGTCACATAGTTATGCAGAAGTGGCATCATGTCTGGGGAGAAAATTTGAAATTCCAATGAGACATCTACAGAGTAAAAACAAACCCTTGCGCCTGACACTGCACTTCTGTAGCCCCACACATTCCCATCTTGCCTAGCAAACAACGCTCCACAAGAGTCCCTCTTGCAAAGAGAGCCAGGGGCAGGAAGACTGCAGCGTTCACAGTGCATGGTAGCGACTGCTTCACATCTCTTTCTTCTTTTCCAGGGGATTCACTGCCGTCTGCCATGCTGTAAATTTTCTTGCCTTTTCACCTGGGTACTTCTTCCACCTCTTCCCCACTAGAATGTAAGCTTCAGCAGGACTATGGAAATTGACTGTGGTACTGCTGAGCTTAGCACTGAGCTTAGAATGTAGTCACTATTCAGAAAATATTCCCAGGCGTGGTGGCGCATGCTTGTAATCCCAGCACTTGAGAGGCTGAAGAAGGCCAACTGCCATGAGTTCAAAGCCAGTCTGGGCTACACAAGCAAGCTCAAGGCCAGCCTGCACAAAATAGTATTAGAAAACAAAAAACAAACAAATAGCACAAAAAAAGCCAAAATACATATTTTTAAATTACATATGGATATATACTCTGGGGCAAACTAACCAGAGGCATAATAAACTAGGCATGGTGGCTCAGGCCTCTAATCCCAGCACTGTGGGAGGCTGGGGTAGGTGGATTCCAAATTCACGCCCACTCTGCTCAACTCAGTGACTCAGGAAGACGCTGCCTCAAATTTTTAAAAAAGGCTTATTAGATGTAGTTCAATACAAAGGTCCTAGCTAGGTTTCATCCTCAGTACTTAACAAAAAAGAAAGAAAAGATGGGCTGGGGATTCAGCTCAGCGGCATAAGTGCCTGCCTTGCAAGAGAGTTGTCCTGAGTTCGATCCCTGGTACCGACTAAAATAAAAAGGATAAACAGGAAAGAAGAGGCCAGGGGGGATGGAGGAAGAGCCTACCTCCCCTGGCTACACACTTAAGACTATAAACACTGCCACAATAGCTCCACATTGTGACAGGAAAAGGGGAACATTTGCTGACTAGTACTGCACTCCATGTGTTTTTACTTCAAGTGACAGAGTATTATCTAGATACAGAAAAGCAAACACGTTATATGATCAAAACCATACCTGTGAAGTATTCAAAGCAATCCTGCTGGAAAACTTCATATAAAATACTCAGAAGCTGCCACATTTGAGGGGAGATAGTGTGGCAGGTTAAACTGTACGCCAGTGAAAGAATTTCTTCATAGAATTCTAGAAATAAGAAAATATCCAGTCAAAACGCTAGGAAACAGCGAAGGTGTGCACAGACTTTGGGGCAGATTCAAATCCATCTGCAGCAGGATGCCTGCGGGCCGCACATGCCTTCCTCGGGGCTGCAGCCACAAAGTCCGTCTGCTTGCTCCACAAGGCAAACAGGTGTGTTCACTAAAATCTTTTATAACGTCAAAAACTATTTTTTCTATTTTATTACATGAAATATGGTTGATATTTATAAACTTGTATTAGAAATGTATACGAGAAGGAATTGTTTGCACTTTACTTAGGGAGGATTTTAAATTTACAAATGCTTAACAATGTTCTTTGGAGAGCTTAATCACACAGGGTTAAAATGCTGTATTTTTACAAACAACTATATACTGTGCAGTTTTTCAATTTATACACCTTATACATTTATGCCAGAATTCTTCAACTGACCTCAAAAGGGTTACGCTCACTATGAAGAAGTACCCAAAGGAAATATTCTTGTATTCATGCACATATTTATCATGATCATCATCAGTCAAAAGTAAACTATATCTAAGTATACAATCAGAAAATACAAACCTCAATACAAAAATTTTGAATAACTCTTACTACATTCCTGAGCAAAGTCTAACCTGAAAGTTTTGTTTTTTTCTCAGAAAACAATCTAATACTTAACCTAGAAATTTGATCGTTTTTTGTATAACATTTAAAACAATACATCCAGAAGTCAGTCATACACACTACTTGCCTTACTGAAAGCAAAATAAGACAGAAACTATAGATATTGGGAAACAATTCCTTGTAGAACAACAAATTATCCACATACAAGATTTCTGAAAGTTCTAGCATAGCATTAAAACAGGTAAGTAGACCAATAGAATAATACAGAGCAATGGAAACAAATCCACACATTGACAGTCAACCCATTTTCTGAGAAGAGGACAAGACAACATAGAGTAGGGACAGTGTCTTCAACAGATGATAGTGGTGAAACGCGGTATCTGTGTTCAGATGAATGAGATTCATCTCATATCGTATACAAAAATCAACCACAATGCTTTAAACCAACTTTAGCACCTGAAAATGAAAAACTACTAGCAACAAATATAGAAGGAAAAGCTCCAGGACACTGATCTGGGGAGTATTTTCTTGATACAACCCTCAAGAGACAGGAAACAAAACCAAAAACCAGACAAATGGGATTATATCAACCTGAAGGATCTTTGCATAGCAACGGGAATGAGAGGAGACAAGCTACACAATGCAAAAAAATATTTGCGATGGATATGATAAAGAGTTAACATTTAAAACAATTAGGAATTCTACAGCAAGAAAATAAATAATTTAAAAATGGAAATCAGGCATGGAGCATGTACCACAGTTCCAGCTACCCAGGGGGCTGGAGCAAGACTACTGTTTAAGTCCAGGAGTTCAAGGCCAGGCTGCACGCTGAGAGACACCCAAGACATACAAATGGCTAGCAGGTACATGCAAAAATGGTCAACAAAAGCCAGGGAGGTTACAGCAGAACTGCAAATTTGAGGTCCAAAAGGCAATTTAAAAGTAAAAATGTCTCAAAAAATAAAAACTGTTCATCATGACTCAAATTAAAATCATACTTGTCAGGGTGGCTATGATCAAAAAAACAAAAGGGTAACTGTTGGAAGGGACATAAGAAAAGGGAACTGTTTTACACTGTTAGGGAGAACATATACTTGTGCAGCTACTATGGAAAACATCACAGAGATTTCTCAAACATTAACATTAGAGAACTACCATATGATTCAACAATCTCATGACTGAATATTTATCCATTAAAACCCAAGATCTTGAAGAGTTGTCTGTGTCCCTGTGTTCACTGTAGTATAGTTCACAACAGGAAAGATACAGAAAAACCTAAGTAACTGCATAAAACATGTCACATATTCACATTTTATTAAGGATGAAAACTCTGCCCTTAAAAGAACATTCCATCATTATTACAACATAGACAGCCCTTGAGGTCACTGTGCTATGTGAAATAAGCCAGAAAAGCATCCACAAAGCTTCTTCTGTTATTGTTAATGAACACTCACAATTTACGGTAGGGGTTGACTCTGCACTGTCCTCTCAGCCTTTTGACAGGGCTAGGATCAGGTATCTGTCATAACTATATCACACAGAACAGTCTCGAGGCCCCAAAACTCACCCTTTTCCTCACTCCCAGTCCTTGGAGAGCACTATCTCTACTGACAAACTCTTTAAAAAGTATTATACTTTTTTAATCGACAAATAAAAATTGCATATATTTATAATGCTCAACATGTTTTAAAATATATCCATTTGTTAAATGGCTACATGTAGAAAATATATCCCTTTGTAAAATATATCCATTTTGTAGAATGGCTAAATCTAGCTAATTAACATACTTCTGATTTCATACATTCATTTTTGTTGTGAGAATACGTAAATTACACTTGGCAATGTTTAGTTTTAGCACATAACACACTGCTAACTCCAGCCACCCATCCTGACCAGCATCAGGATTTCCTTTTTTTTAAATGCTAAGTATTTACACTATGTATACATACATTTCATTCAAATAATATTCATATATTTATACATGCCAGCTCAATTTTTACTAATGAAGTGACAACAGAAGACTGGCAATGACAGTCATCTGCTCTTCTTACATCTTCCTAAGTAACTTTAATCTCTCTCACACCTAGGTGATTTGAGGCTGCCAACTTTAAATTGTGTGGGTACTTTGCATACTCCACAAAAAAACCCAGCCATCAGTTACTAACTCCACTTAGAAGTCAGACTACAACAAGGCAATTCCCACTTTTGACAAAAAAAGTCTAATTTTTTTTTCTATCCCCAGTACCAAAAAAGAGACACTACTTTTAACCACCGTTCAGTTCTAAATTATAGTAATCTCATCTAAACCTCATTTCAGTTCTTCATTTCTAAAAACATAATGTGATTCTCTGTCCTACCACAGCATGTCCATACCAAAATAAATTGCTACTAGATGAAAGATTTTGATGTAGAGAATTAAAATACAAAATAAAAAATAACAGCTAGGCATCATGGCACATGCCTGCAATCCCAGCTCTTAGGAGCCTAAGGACAGGCAGCTTGCCATGAGTTTGAGGCCTGCACTACACAGTGAGTTCAAGGCAAGCCTGAACTACACAGCGAGACTCTGTCTCAAGAAACAAAAAGCAACAACAAACAAACAAATAAAAAACCAAAAAAAGATAGAAAAAAGAAAGAAAAAGACTAGGACAAATACAAAGAATTATTTTATGATCCTAAAAAGGGAAAGAGATTCCAAACCCAGAAATAAGAAATTGAAAAAGCTAAATCTAATCACATTCTTTGTCCTTCAAGTTTCCAAGACCAAATTCTTTTTTTTTGTTTGTTTGTTTTCTGAGTTTTTTTTTTTTTTGGTACTGGGGATCAAACTAACGACTGTACACTTGCAAGGCAGGTGGTTATGCTGCTGAGCTAAATCCCTAGCCCAAGGCCAACAATTCTTAATTGGATGTATTTTAGGTTTATCTCTGAATGAAAAAGTATTACCTAACATTAGAAAGTATATCCAAAAATTGAAAAGAATTCAAATTTTTTTTTCAAACTGTTCACCTTGTTAAATTTCAAGAGCTAAAAATGTACTCTGATTTCAACAAGTTAAAAACAAAACCTGTTTACCTTTTATAGCAAACCTTTGAAACTTACCAATTACATGTTTCTGTAAAACAAGATCAATGATCCGTAGACAGATATTCTCTAACTGCTGTGTAATCTAAAGATAAATGACAAATAGTTTAAAATTTAACATAATCCTCAAAATAATGTATAAATTAACATTATTCCAGTAAAAATACATACAGAACATACTGAGAAGGAAATTTGACAAGGTAATTTTAATCTTCATGTGAAAAATTAAACATGCAAAAAAACAAGGAAATTTCAAAATGTAGACCAATAATGTGAGGGAGGATTAAATCCATAGTGAGTTATTAAAGCTAGTGTGAATTAAATTAGTTCTTTATGACATAGTTCATTCCAAAACAAATTCCTACTAGAGGAAAGATGTTGATGTAGAAAATTAAAACATAAAATAAAAAACAGAAGAGATGCAAATAATTATTTTATAATCCTGAAAAAGTGACTCCAAACTCAGAAATAAGAAATGAAAAAAGGCAAACAAGTTGATACCAAAAATTAGAAATCTCTGCATTGAGGCATGAGGAAAGCAAAGACAAAAAGTCGAGTGAAATATCAAATGGTATCACGAAGGTCAAATTTCCCCTACATGAAACAAAGGCAAAGAGCACAAAATGTAAGTGTGAACAAGCCTTAAACTGATAAAAAAGATGTTCACTAATATATAAGATTACAAATTCAAAGAGCAATATTACACTGAATCTATCAGCCCGATCAAAAAGCAAAGGGCTAGCAAACTGACACGGAGGTGCACGGAGGTGCAGAGAGCAAGCTGGTACATACTCATGGGACAAGTGAGCAGCTCCTTCAAGCCTGCTTACACATAGTGCCTGTAACCAACAATTCCAGCGTCCAGATGGCTATGCTAAGTGACATATCAAAGACCACCCACTACACCAGTGCCTGTACTTCAGCCAACTGTCCAGCTGAACAAGGGCCAGTTAAAACACATCCATTAACGAGGAACTGGTTACCCAAATTTGACAGATCATGCAAGGAATATTATGCAGGCACTAAAATACATTGTTTATTAATTGATATAGTATGATTGCCAAGATAAGTAAAAAAAAAATTAAGGATCAACAAGATTAAGTTAAAAATGGTAGCTAAAACTGGCATATATGTCATCAATTTTCATGAAAAAATATAAACACTAAAAATAAGAAAATAATAAAATGTGCTATATTCTGAGAGAGGTAAAATTAAATAACTACAGAGTAATAAGATAAAATTTCATTGCATATATTTTCATACTTAAATTATTCAATGCATTTCTATTAAATATTTTTCAAATAACTAAAAAATTTTCAAATACATCATGGACTGTAAAAATATCCAATTTCAACTTTGAAGCATATTCTAATACTCAGTCTAAACTTTGTATATTTTGACACATAATGGTACATACTTGTAGGTGTAGTTTCATGATTTAATACATGTTAAAGTTCAAATAATCCAAAATTTTCCTACATACAAAACTGCCAACACACAACCATTAGATTAAACTAGACAAGCTTTTTAAATCACCCATTTTAGATTTCCAACTTGCTTTTCATACATTATTTACACATGTATTTATACACATGTATTTTCTTTTAAGGAAATATTTTTGAATATTTTGAAGTTTGCTTGTAATGAATCAAAGTTCCAAATTAAAAGAGGCCATCAGAAACCAAAGATTCCAGGCAGTTTTATCTTTAATTATCCATTGGGAAAATCATTTTGTTGAAGGCTTTAAGTGTTTTCATCTTTGGGTAAGAAATCTAGATTTGATTGTCTCCCAAAAACTACCCAAAAGACATGATGAACTGAACTCTGTTCAGTACAAAAAGATACACTATGATGTAATAGCTCCCCTCAATCATTGTAATGTTTCTTTAAAATCTGAGAGCATCAGCCTTAGCTACAAAAAACCAAAAGAAAGAAATTTGAGGACAATTTTTATAGCCTAGCACCATAAGTAAGTAGCAATTTAAAAGCTAAGACTTGGCAGGCATGATGGTGCATGCCAGCAACCTGGCCCTCAGGGACACTAAGGCAGGAGGATCTGAAGTTGAGTCTAGGGTGGGCAACCTGGCAACTTAGTGTGACAGTGTCTCACACCAAGGACTGGTGATGCAGGTCAGTGTGAACGCTTTGTGCTTAGCTGCCAGTAGAGGGAGGTAAGAAAGCAAACGGCCAAGATTAAAATTCATGCACACTGGTCATGTAAAGTTCAGTTAATATTACTATTATGTTTTAAAAAGACACAGAAACCTCACCTCTTTATGATCTTCTACAACTGTTAAAATCGTATCAATAGTATGTAAAATTCCCATAGCCATCACTGTTTTGTCTTCAACCTCTTCATATTCATCACTCTGAAGAACTTTGCCAAATATCTCAGCCTATGAGTAACACGATATGTAACAATTAGTACTGTTAGGAAGAATCACACATCTAAATGTCAACATAGCTCAAACACTAAGTTCTGCACTGCGCTGAATGAATGCTTTTTCTTTAGGTCACAGCACCCGTCATGTCTTAAACGCAGTCATTTTACCTTTCTAATCACCTGGATGGAATACCCATTATTAATTACAACCACTGCCTAACATTTAACCTCTGGTTATCGTTAAGGCAAAATCAAAACCTAAGAAAACAAAAATCAACACTAAAAAGAAAAATACAATGGAAGGTTTACAAGGTAAAGTTAAAGGTCACCTAGAAAATGAAACAAGGGCTGGGGATTTAGCTCAGCGGCATAAGCGCCTGCCTTGCAAGCAGGCAGTCATGAGTTCGATCCCTGGTACCGATAAAAACGAAAAAAACAAAAAAAACAAAACAAAACAAAGAAAATGAAACAAAAAGAATAGACCTGGAAGGAGGGTCAGGGATGGAAACTAGACACTCAGTCCAGCTCTGATATTCCATGCTGAGCAAAGCAGAATGAGGGGGACAGTACAGAGAAACACATTCAAGAGGTAATACAAAATTTACCCTAGAGAAAATGATACTGCAAATTCAAAGTCCAGAAACAGAAAATTTAGAAGGCTTATATCAAGACACCTCACTATGAAATCTCAGAATATTATAATGAAAAGAGATTATCCTAATGTTATTATATGTAAGTCTAATTACATACAAGAATATCAGAGTTATTAGACCAAACTTTTTTATGTTTTTTTTTTTTATTTAATGTGTGGGGTTTTTTTGAGACAGGGTCTCACTATGTAGTTCAGGCTGGCCTTGAACTTGTGGCCGTCCTCCTGCATCTCCCTCCTGAGTGCAAGGATTACAAGTGTGTGCCACCACACCCGGCCAGAGCAAACAGTTTTATATTAATCTGTCACTTACAAGTAAAACAGAACCCCAATTTTATCTAGATTATGCAAGCCTTCTATGCCAAACTAACATAAAACTTTGCCCCATCTTTAGCTTAGAAAGATTTTGTCTCTATAAAGTTTTAAAAGGGCTGAGCGTTGGCTACAGGAAAGTGTTCATCTAACATCCAGGAGAACCTGGACTCAATCCTGAAAACTATAACAAAATAAAACAATTTATGTCAGTCTTACCAAGTGTTGGGTCATGTCAACTGCAATTGATGCAACCTCTTGACTGTATTCGCATATCATCTTCTGGATGACATTAGTAACATCATCATTTTCTGTCTCTCTGACAATGTGCAACAGCTCCTGCATAATAGGCCTCACATGCGGCTTCATATATTCCTTAGCTAATGTAACAAAACAAAATTACTGAGTATCCATGTGCAGAGAGTGAAAGGAAAGGACCTCAGGCAAAAGTCCAAGTGACACAGAATTCTAGCTGCTGACCTGCTCTGGGGTAAATAAACAACAGAGTAGGTCTAAATAATGGCCACCACTATATGGGTTTTCCCATGAGTATGCAGGATAAGCAGTTCTGCATGTGAAAGGACTGTTCTGCCCCAAATGCCATAAGCCCACTGAGAAATTCTAATTACACTTGTGCTCTCTTTCATCAGTCTGATTTGGAGAACATGAATATGATGATATCAAATATAAGCCATCAGATACCTAAAGACCATGTCCAACACTGATGGGGTCTACACCCTGCCCTAACCCCCCTCTACACACCCTCCTCCCAACATGGCCTTATACATCTTTATACAATATCCAGTCCTCTAGCTGCTGGGTTCATGTTCTTCATAAAGCTGGGTTTATCTGCAAAGATTTACCTGATCTTTGAAGAGGACAATCTTTTAAGCAAACAAAGGAACCACCTATGTTATTATTCTCTAGAAATATTCTACTTTTAAAACTGGTACAAGTATAGCATACTAAAGCTGAAATGTATCTTGTTATTTTTGTACCAGGTATTGAACTTTTGGCCTCGTGCTTACAAGGCAGGTGCTGTGCTGCTAAGCTATATCCCCAGCAGAGCTGAAATGCACCTTGAAGCCATCTAGCCAACCCCCTCCTAAATTTTAATACAGACCATGTGCTCTACCTGACCTAATGTGGCAAAGCAGCAGAATCAAAAGTGGACTCAGAGTTCTTGATTTCTAGCCAACCCTTGTACACACCATTCACTAACTTGTTTCCTCATCTCAATTTCTTTCTGGAAACCACAATCAATAGGGACTCCTAAAAAGGCAAGAATATAAAATTCTAAGGAGCTAAAAGCCCACCTTCCTCAGGGAAGAAAGTGAGTGAATTAGGAAGAACACCCCAAAATATATATTAAAAATAATCAACTTCTTAAGTGATGTTTTGGTTTTACCTTGGATCTGGTTAGAAATTAATGACTGGAGGGCAAGGGCAGCTTCCACTTTGACCGGCATCTCCTTATCTTCAATCAGGCTCTTCTTCGCCAGATCCACAGCATGTCTTAGGTTGAGCTCATTATGAAACTTCAAAGAACTGAATGCATGAAGCACCCAGCAGGACTGTGAGAAGAAAGTAAGTGGGGAGCTGCTGGGATTATGGCATTCTGTAATAGTGTCACAGGTACAGGAAGGTCCTAGTAAAATACATTTACGCCAACAGTTACCCGAGAGCTGACAAACACATGGAAAACTTACTCGAGCCCGAAGATATCCCAGGTTAGACAGTAATAGGGGAAATACATGATTCTGTAGAAATAACTCAATTTGGTCCTTGAATAAACTCTTCTGTTGGAAAACAAGAATTTCAGCTTATCAATGGGTTTTTTTTAATATGTAAGAATCACTTCCTAGTGAAGATTTCTACATAATGTACTTCTGTTTACAGTTCCTTAGTTTGACTTACACAATGCATGTTTTAAAACCACACAGAATACCTTAGATCAATCTGATATTAATTGATTTTTGTAGCAATAAGAACACTAATATCATTTTGTATCCTTTTAAAACAGCACTAATTTCATACTGAAAAACTGAAAGACCAAAGTCAAACTTTCCTTTCAATTAAAGAAACAGGCAAGAGAATGGATATTTAGTCAATAAATCACCCAAGTGATTTATTTAGTCAATAAATCACTGGTGGTCTCCAGTGTTAAATTACCCCTAACTTTCATACTCTTATTTACCTGTGCTCATGTTTTATTAAATAAATTAAATTTTGATAATCTTAACCTTCAATAAAATCTCTGCCAAGGAACCAATCACATGCAGGGCCCCATCTTTCTTCCTCGGGTCAAAGTTTGGGTCTGTGAGGATTTGGTAACAGAATGCCATCATTTTTGGCAACACCTAAAGAAATGAAAGAATCCATTTTCAAAAATAGAGCCATCAAGCAACTATAAGCTCAATAAGAAAGTACAATTTATTAAGAAAAAAACAGGGCCAGGGAATTAGCTCAGTGTCATAAGCGCCTGCCCAGCAAGTGCTAAGTTGTGAGTTTAATCCCTACTACAAAAAAAAAAAAAACCTAATAAAATCTTAATGTAAAAAAAAGATACTCTAACCTTTTTAATAGGGAAAAAGCTTTTAAAATAAGTTATAACTAATAACAAAGTGAGTTTTCAAATGCTAGGAATACAGAATGTCAAATCAATGCAGGTTGCCCTTTAGTTTGCATTTAAAGAGTGCTTACGTACCTCTTTCCTTTTTTTTGCAGCAGTATATAGAAGAGTCTGGGCTGCTGTAGTAGGAGAGGCATAATCTTCAAAAATATCTAAAATTGCAAAAAGTTAAACTACTTTGGCAAAAATACAGCTAATTATCATACAGACTTTAAGCCTGACTGACTATGGCTTATGCTAGGAAACAAACGAGTCCACACGCAGCTGGTTTACAGTAAAGAACAGCAATGTGCTCATGCAGAGGTAACGCTTGAACTCCATAGGTGTCATTTCAAACACCCATAGAAGAGGACTTCCAGAAGGGCTTCAGAAAGTGGCAAGAGTGCTGGGACAGTATGTTCAAAGCAAGGGGGAGTATTTCAAGGAGGGATTAATAATAATGTGTCTTTTGCTGTTATAGATTTGTTTCAAACGATCACTGCAAATTCTGATATTACCTCAAACTAATGACTTTTTTAAATACTCAGTCTGTACCAGGCACCACACTATGATTTTACAGTATGACTTTATACTCTGATTTTCATCCCTCTGTATTATCCCATGTAGTTCTCTCAATATCTGATAATGATAATCTGTCCATTTTATAGTACATCTGAAGACAGGGGTTACATAACTTGCCTAGAACTACTAAGTAAATGGCCATGCCAGCACTCACATTCAGGATAACTTAACATTAAAGCCTGAACTCTTGTCAGTTTTTACCAAATCTAAAAACAGTACTATGGGAGAAACAGTGAAATTAGTCAGAGTTTAATAAAAAGAAAGAATAAATAAAACAGTATTATTAATATTGTTAGAAATATATAATATACATGTTATCTTCATATACATAAGTTCAAATGACAAAAGTATAAAAATACAGTAATTATTCTTTCCTATAATTACTCAAACAAAATACACATATCAAGTAATGCCTACTGCATTCTCATCCACAGAAGGAAACGATTAAGGAAAACATACCAGTCTTGATTTATTCACTCTTTTAAATAATAAATAAAATGCAAATTCCCATCATTAATATAGCTTTTAATTACTCCTTTTTTAAAAAATTGAGAGCTGGCCATGGTGTTGCATGCCAGTAATTCCAGCATTTGGGGGGCTGAGGCAGGAGGATCACTGTGAATTCAAGGCCAATAAGGGCTATATAGTGAATTCAGGGCCAGCCTAAACTACACAGCAAAAAACCCTGTTTCTACATAAATAAATAAACTGAGATTATCAGCTATGAGGAATGAAACAGTGGGAGTTCCCTAGAAGCTAAACAAGCACACAGGTACTAGAAGAAAGACAAACACTAACAAAATGACTTAAACTAAAAACTTGGCTCATCATTCTGCTCAAGCAAACTAGGCAAACAGAGGCCCAAGGAAAGGAAAGTTACGCACATGAGAAATGACTTTCTAAAGAGTAGAGAGATAAAGTAGATAGTAAATGCTGTTACTCTATGTTGTCTGTGCTGCACTTTCTGTCCCCAGATGAGCTGGTTCTTAATGAATAAACTTACACTAACCACTGGGACAACACTGTCCCACCACCTGGCATCCACACCAATGAACTTCAATCAGGCAGCTGGAGGCACCAGGCTTCGGTGACAGCACTGCTCTCCACCAAGCCTTAGGCCACCTTAGGTAGAGTTTCAGCAATCACTCATTTGTTTTGTTTTGTTTAATTTCAACATTATTTTAAAGGCACACTAGGGAGGAATGTGAAGGGAGAAAAGAAGTAACAAGAATGCAAGATACAGCAAATCAATTAAAGTTCCTGCCCTCTGATAACTTCTAACTCTAGCAGAGTGACAGGTAGACAAGTTAACACTTTGCTATGACTGATGTTGAAAGGAAATGATTCAAGCAGCCCATGTAGTAGTTCATAGCTCTAGGAACCTACCAGCCACCAGGACACCCAGAGAAGAGTGTGGCCTCTGAGAGAAATCAAATTCCTTTGTGGAACAGTTCATCCACAAGATAAGGAAGAAAACCTAATTGGGGTGCTGCTAAAATCCACAGAAATCCAAAGGATCCCCAGAATGGAGAACAACCCAATCTACACAGGAGAATTCGACACACAGAGAGGGCTGTCCCTGCACCTCTGCACCACAGCAAACCCCACACCCAAAAGTCTCAAGTTCTTTGGTTCAAATGGGCATCAAAGGCTGGATGTGGTAACTCACGCCTGTCATTCCAGCACTCAGGAGGCTGAAGCAGGAGCATTGCTGCAAGTTCGAAACCAGCCTGAGCTACAAACTGAGTTTGAGGCCAGCCTGAACTGCATAGCAAGACCCTGTCTCAAAAATCAAAAAAAGAAAAAAAAATAAAAAGGTAGGGGCATGAAACATGAATCATGAGTTTCAAGAGTCTGTCATACAAAACAGAACTTAGGGAAATTAATGAGACAATAAAACTAGTTTAAAATTGTAAATTTAGTTATAAGACTTTCCATATTAGAAAACAAATCATCGCAATTACCAAATTTCATCCTTATGTATTCATACGGATCCTCTTGCCATAGCTCTTCATCTTCATCTTTATAGCACATCACAGAAAAAATCACGTCTTCAGAGATATTCTAAGATGAGAAATGAAGCAACAAATGGGCACAAGGGTACAGACTATTGAAATTTGGCAACTACCAATAACGTATTTATAGACAACCACTAAGGTGTGAATTTTCCAAACAGGTATTTTAACGTTTCTTTTAAGCCTGCATGCACCAAAGTGACAGCAGAAAAGCAAGAGCCCCTGACAGGGCATGGCATTAAAAGTTACAGTGGATTAGGATTGTTTTTGAATGGCAAGTGACTAAAAGCACAGAAAAGACCAATGTAAACACTAGTTTTTGAAGCAATAACAGGGACAATTAACAAATCAACCTTCAACAATCAACAGATTTTGATTTCCTTCAAGAAGAAAATGTCAAGTCAGAATTACACCTACTGTTAGATTTATTTTTAAAATTTTTAATATTTCCATGTTGGTTGTTAATGGCAATACATGACCAATATTACAATTTAATCTTCTTTTTCTATCGTTAAAAAAACTATTTCTTATGCTACAAGGTGTTTTTCAGGGGAGAAGGCCTAGCCATAGGCCCCTCTGGCATACTGCTGCCAGTGTCCACAGGCCATCTGTGCTCTGGTACCTGCTTATACAAAGGCAGGAGCAGATTTCGTCACTTACTTAAATTGAGTAATTCTAAGAGAAAAAGAGCCAACCTAAGTGTCGTTTTCTTATTCCTGCATGACAGCCATGTGAAAATCAGACCAAAGGTATCAAGTAGAAAAGAAATGCTAACACTATTCACTCTTACTTTAAAGGAATAAAGGAAATCAAATGAACTCAGTACTTTATTAACTGCATGGAAGGTATTACTATCTGATCAAAGTGAGTAGGCAAGTAGCTATTAAGATGTCCACAAAGCATAATACCGAGATACTATGTCTAAGATCGTTAATAAGATAACCTTAGCCAAACTCTACCCTGGGCACCAAAGGCAAAGGGAAAGAATTTATTTTCTTGACACATACTATTTTATGGTTTGGAGGGGAAGATTCAGATCCTAATGTGTCTCAACTGCTTGGTTATTTAAATACTAAGAATTTATTTATTAATGGCCCATAATTTTCCCCTTATATTTTTTCAAAATAGCAATACTGAATTCTATCTTCAAGTAAACAATTACTTTTAATTTCTGCTACAGAATTTAACTGTCTAAAAAAAAAGATATAAAAAGTTTCCGCTCACATCTACAGAAGAAAATGGTCATATATCAGATATCATTTTCGGCCAGGGATTTAGCTCAGCGGCATAAGTGCCTGCCTTGCAAGTGCACAGTCGTGAGTTCAATCCCTGGTACCAAAAAATACACACACACACAAAAAAGGAACAGATACCATTTTCTGCAAAATAACACCTTAATCAGGCCCTGATGATAGATTTCAAAATTCTTTTGAAATTCTTCATTTAATCCTAGCAACCTTTAGAGGACAGAAAAATACATGACTTAACAGAAAATAAACAGATTAAATGAGAATTCAAACATGCTCCACGAAAGCCAAGTGTGCCCATTCACAGAATCACCTTAATGCTTAAATTTCCAAACCTTTTATATCAGATAGAAGACTGCTCCTTAGACATTATTAATGCAAATAAAACGATACTAACCATAAAATATAGAATTGGTAGCATGCATACCTAGCAAACCTAATTTAACCAGAGATTAATTTTGGGAAGTCACTGTCTGATGTTACCTGTATGTGTGGCTTCATCTGCTTCCAGGTTACAGAATGCACGATGCCTTGGTTGAGATAGTTGAATGCTTGCTGAAGAACACGGGGTGCTATGTATTCTTTCTGTCTATACTGATCCAAAATTTTTAGTAGCACCTACAGGAAAAAAGGAAAAAAAATAGGAGCTAAATGTAAGGTTAAAAGAGGTGGGGGACATTTTAAGTATGACATAAAATCCAGAATACCGATATAAAAATTAGCACATTTTGAGGAAAGTCTGCATTTTATAAGAAAGCTCATGTGGTACTATTAATTCTCATATATGTCCATGTTCTACTAAACTAAAGGTATCTTATCACAACTTCCAGGCAGGTGTCTCAGCTGCTTGTGGGACTACTCAGGGAGAAAAAAATCTAACTTCTATTCTACTTCTAGCTCTCCAAAATAAAGTAAGACTCCTGTTTTTAAAAATAACAGATGTGAAAAAAATACCAGATGTGACTGAATAAACATTTAAAATCTTCCATATAGCAAGGGAAAGAACAGATTTTATTACTTGAATCAAACGTGATTTCAGATTGGAGAGAAATGTTATTTAACAAAACAGTATTGGCACAACTGATTAGCCCTCTGGATAAAAAAATTAAATTAGGTCCCTAACTCATCTTCATACTAAAATAAGCTCCAGATGGAAAAATATTTCAACAACACAATCACAGAGTTCTTAGAAGTCAGAGACTTTTACTTTATAATGTCAGCTCAGAGAAGCTGTGTGTAAACACCCAGAAATGAGGCGTTCTCTCTCTCGAGGCTGAGGAAGCACCCTCACACAGGAGCGGAGTGTGGCTACGGCACAACCCACAGCACCCTGGTCTTCAGCACTTCGCTCCCTACCAACTTGCCAAATCTTTCAAAATACGTACAGTTTATAAATTCAGAATATGAACTGCATTCAAGTAACATTTATTTAGGTTTACAAGACTTGTCAGAAGCGCTATTATCACCTAGAAATTCCTTGTGTAATGGACGCTAAAAAGATACTGACCACGATTCTTCCTGGCACAGTTGTGGCTAAGACAAAGTGGGGAGCTGAAGGTAAGCCACAGCAGTGCAGGAACGAATGATTCTTGATGAGAAAACTAATTTTAAAAATCAGGAACCTATATTCTAATTAGCCAAGTACAAAGAAACGATGACAAGGATGCAAAGACATGAGATTTTTAAATATACGTTTATAAGATACTAGAAAAATCAACCACACTTCAAGTGGATATGAACTTTTAGATGCTTAGTGGAATTTCACAAGAACAGAAAGCAGGCCTCATCAGCTCCTTGGTTATCCTGGTATCCACTGTGAATTGCTAAACAGATCATTTTATTCACTATTCACTAATTTCCCCTAATGATTTGCATTAGTGGGCCAACAAAACAATTGTGAGAAAGTATACCTAGCTTTCCTGAACTGTGGCACAGTATTCTTTAACATGTTTTACTAGCCAAAATGATGGTCCATAAATAGAAGCACTCTCCTTAAGGCGACAGGCAGAATGTACCTAACTTTGGATCACTAACAATAAGGTTGTATGAAAGCCTAACACCACCCCTTTTTCTCATTAAAGCCACTACCCACACCTTGTTAATTAGTCTTTGCTTCTCCATAGGGTCCTGGTACAGCAAGTGGTTAGTAATTAAGTTTTGTTCAAATATAAACAAAAATACATGACCCAAGGGCAACACTCCTCCATAGCTTTTAAAATCTGTAAATATTATTATTATCCTGCTTCCTCAAGAATTCATTTTCACTGTATACAACAGTTCCCAAATTCTATACTTACACAGATGTGTAAGTTTTTTTGTTTTTGTCTTTTGGAAGTACTTTTTTCAGGGTTGGAGATTGAACCTAGGGTCTCATACATGCTAGGCAAGAGCTCTGTCACTGTGCTACATTTTTAGCCCTTTTTATTTTGAAATAGGGCCTCAATAAGTTGACCAGACTGGGTTCAAACTTGTGATACTCCTGCCTCAGCCTCCCAAGAAACTGGATTACAGGAATGTGCCACCACAAACAATTTAAGATACATAAATTCTCAGTTGAGAGTCTTAACATCTAAGCTCTTAAAACAGAAAAATTCATGTTATATAAATCTTTTAAGATAAAAATATACAGACAAAGAGATGAAGTTCCTAGTTTGTTTGGAGACTGAGACAGAAGGCCCATAGTCTGAGGCCACCTTGGGCAGCTCTATGAGATCCTGTCACCAAAATAACTAATTAATTAATTAAAATAAAATAAAAGGCTCCCTATGCAGCTTAGACACAGAGCAAGCATAACTCCTAGATTCTGTACTTAATATTGCAAGAGAGAAAGACAGAGAGAAGAGGCAAAGCTCAAAGAAAAAAGTTCTTTAAAAACTTGAAAAAGGTCAGAGAATTAACAGACAAACCCAATCTAATCTAACACTCGTTTCTGCCTCTTAAAAGGTTTGGGCTGAACAATGGATGCACACTTGTAAACCTAGGGCTCAAGAGGCTGAGGCAGGAAGACTTCCCTGAGTTGAGGCCAGCCTGGGCTACATTGAAAGACCCTATATATCCTAAAAAAAGGTTTGGATCCATAGTCTAGTAGTCAGGATAGGCAGTTCTGGTGGCAGCCACCCTGTGACATTTAATACTAAAACTAATTATATTGTATTAGTTCTAAGAGCTGCCATTTCATCCTCTATAAATATATAATGTTATATATAAATATATATATATGTTCATGATCTACTTTTTTCCTGGTACTGGGAATTGAACTCATGACCCCGCACTTGACAGGTAGGTGCTGTGTTCCTAAGCTACATTTTGGCCCTTCATGATCTACTCTTAAAGTCACAGAAATAGTTTAGCTACCTCTCAGTAATAATCATCCTTCTGTATGAAAAGCATACATTTATTACCTGCTGAATTCCCACTGCATAGGTTTTCAAAAAGAATTCAGAAAATTCAAAGTATTCTTTTGTGACATTTCCTGGGCTTCCATACCTTAAAATTCAAAGATAAAATGTTTAAAATGTGAAATTTTAAAACAAATTATGTTCATTGGTTTAAATAAATCATTACAAGATGTATTCTGCTGGGGCAGAAAACCAATACTTTATTCTTTCTCAAAGCCATAAAATGAGATCTTAGGAAACCATACTCATGGTTACGCATTTATGTACTTAGGACCTAACTAAACTTACACATTTCATACAGAAGCATTTGCCTTCTAACCCAGGAGACTCTAAAGGGCCAACATTAAGAATTAAAATGCTCTACCTGACAAGGAACAGATTTCTTTCAAAAAATGCTTATAAAATTATATTTTCTTAAGGAACTAGTGGCCCTGCACCTTTTTTGCATAATTTATGGATATTTCCAATGGCCTGAAGAATAGAAATATTCATATAAAAAGTTTCTCACCTCATTATCATCTCATAATCAATGATCACAAGTAAATCACTTTAAACAGAATGACTCTTGGCTCTCGATGGGCATACAATCATATACTGCAGTACAACAAGGGAAGTATTCACTATCTACATCCTGACTACTATTTCTGATTGCAATACAATTAATTAATAGAGCATCACCTCTCAAAAAGACGAGCTACAATATGCAGCGCCCACTTCTTACACTTCCACCACACTAGTTCTGGTCTATCATCCTCATCAATCTGTAGCGTCTCCTAAAACAATGAAATGCACTAGATTAAATTTCTACACAAAAACAATTTAAGTGATAACAAAAATAGAATAAATCTCAGTACAAATGAAGTCCCATTAAATGAGAAGTTAGATTGCTATGCAATTGCCAATTCTCACTTCATAGATGCTACATAACCAATTTCAACTACTGCTACTGTTCGTGTTTATCTACCATCTTTGAAAAGATCAAACAAGTAGAAAACAAAATACAAATGCCACGGTCCCTTGATGAAGTTCTAAGATGATGAAACAGTTCAACATTTTGATGTGGGTGCCAATAACCCAAATGTTATCAAAATTCACTAATTTTAAAATTACCAATTTTGTGCATTTATGTATATACATTAAACCTCTAAACACTTTGTTTCAAGAATATCCACAATGGGACTGGGGTATATCTCTGCAGGAGAGTGTAAATTTCAAACTCAGTTCAATCCCAAATTTCCAAAAGAAGAAGAAGAAGAAAAAAAACCTGTACCCTTTAGATTGGCTTAAATTTTAAAATATGAAGTACAAATGAAAAAAAGTGAATTTTTAAATTTCTCAAAATATGTAAAAAGTACAAAACCATTATCTCCCTCAGAGTGCACCCCTTCATTTCAGACATGCTTTTCCAATTATTCTTATCACTTTCTGAAATAGTTTGCAGGTCTTCTTCCAGGGGTGTCCTTCAGTTGTGCTGTCTTGGTTGCCTTGATGTCCTGAATTGATTCAAAACATTTACCTGTCAAGGTCACTTTGACTTTGGGAAACAGCAAGAAGTTGCAAGGTACCAGATGCAGGGAGTAAGTGGAGGAGGACCCTCTGTTACGTCTCTACAACCCTGCCTTCTGCTGGATGGCCCTCAGCAGCAGCACTCTCCATACTGACACACCCAGAAAGACACAACACAAGTCAGGACTTCCACAAGTGCTTGGGAAAGTGGCACGAATGATGGGACAAAAGTATTAAAAGCCAATGGTGAGTTCGAGGGAAATTAATGGCATGTATAAAAACATAAAAATATCTTATTAAATCTTAGATGAAAAATGAATTTTAGTATATCTACACGTACTGCTTTTACAAATACTGTATTATAAATTGCAGAGAAAAAGTCTAGAAATATTATTTTTACATTTTTTTCCATTTTAGTAGGAACATAGTCTTTTTTTTTTTACTTTTATCTGAGCTTATTAAAAATGAGTAGAGTACTATGATCATCATTCTATCGGGATTCATGGGTCACCGCCTGCTTGGTGGTATAGTGCCTGCTCGACATGCATGAGGCTAATCTTAGAGAAGGGCCCAAATCCAAGTGACCCGTCCTGCCAAGGAACAGAAGCTCCGCCTTACAGGGGGCACCATTCGGTCGATGATGGTTCGGAAGATCTCCATCCATGTCGTCATGGTTTGGTTATTCACCAGCTGAAGAGGCAATGCATACTGCAAAACACAACAGCATAAACAATCCTCCTCCTCTCCATGAACTCAGTGACTTTACATTATAATGTTAAATATGTAGAATAACATTTAAGCATGAAAATAATAATTCCGTTATTGAACTTAAATCCATAAACATATATTTTAACTTTTAAAAACTTTATATTGGCTAGGATTTGTTTCTCTGAATTACTTTTTAAAATGAAAGATATTTTTGATTAGATTGTCATTTATTCTACATGAGATTGTGGTAATTTACTCCTCTCTATCAAACCATTCATTTTAACCACTTTGATGAAAACCCTCACTTGCTTCCACACTCTGGAGACACTGTCTCACCTACCTTCCTCTGCCCTCTGGCATCGTGAGCAGGGCCTCTGTGTGGCGCACAGTGCACCTCCCCTGCTGCACTGTGAGCAACCCCAGGAGGGGCCCGCACCCACCGATTCCACACGCACAAACTACACATGAGGACCTGACAATAAATAAATCGGACTGTCGGGGCCCCTACAAGGCTTACACCCTAGCCGGAAGAACCACCAGAATCACGCAGACAGGGATGGTAAAGGGTAAAGGGGGCGGGAGGCGAGGCTTAGGGTTAGTGCCTGGGAGGGGTATCTGAACTGGAAACAAGGCTGGAGCAGGAGCAGGCTGAGGGACAGGCAGAAAGCGTTGATTTCTGAGGTAAGTCTGCAATACCCAGAGCCATGCACAGATAATGCTACATAAATAGAACCCATCTCAATTCCCAGACTTTTAGATTAAAACAGTTCCTCCGTGTATTCCTACATGGTTGTATGTTTTACTGACACTGTCACTGTGATGGGTCTCTTAGTCTTTTAAATTGCTTCCAGAAGATTAGTGCACAACAGATTACCAAAATGGTTAATAGGTTGTGGGGTTTTCATTGGCTTTTACAGGTTTTCAGCATATAATAGGTTGAGAGAAAAAGATTAGATTTTTGGCTTGTTAGCAGACCCAGCAGAAGAGGCTTTAGAAAAATTACTTCTTCGGCCTTTGTCTTAGTGCTTGACTCCCAGCTGCTTCTCCCAAAAGGAAAGGCGAGTCTGGCTCTGAGTAAGTGGAACACTTCTGGACCTCCTGGCAGAACAACTCGATGAATAAAAGCTTTGCCTCAGAGTAAAGTGATCCTCCTGAGGATGATTTCTAAATATAACTTTGATAGAAGAACAACCCATCTTCCTTATTAATTTTTTTAAAAGATGAGGCAATATATTTTCCTAACATTCTATTTTCTTCACTGAGATTACCTCCTTCCCTCTTCCTTCACCTTCCCTCAAAAAGGCTGACCTGAAAAAAATATTGCTCAGATTATCTCTATTAAAAGTTTAAAAGGTAAAAAAGACAAAATTCTAATGAAACTATAAATCTGTACTGACCATGAAATAATTTGAAACAGGGCCAAGATACCTAAGTGAAGCCAAAGAACAGATCTCAATGATCTCAACTGTCTAGCTGAACCAACTAACCTTTCAGAAAAAGGAATTTAAACAGAAAATATGTGAATTCTGATTTACTCATTATCAAATGGTTTAGGCTGGCAACCAGTTATCGTTCCTCCACTCAGATCCAAATAATTCGCCAAGTCCTTCAAGGATTCAGTGTTAAACATCTTTGTTTTCAAACACATTATCTCTGTCTTCTAAGTATTTTTTCAATTCTTGTTTTAATAGCCACCAGAGTTTTCAGGCAAAATAAAAGGTGATATTTTAATTAAGAAAAATAAGACACTAAATCTTCTTTGTTAGCTTTAGGCTACACAGAAGGTAGCAAAGTTGTTACCAATATGATTTCCCAATAAAAGAGAGATACCTGTTCTTTTCTCCTACAGTGTGTGTCATCATGCAAGTAAATTAGCTGCAATATCACTAGTTATCTAGCCTGAAGGCAAGGATGCTTTGAACAGGTGAATCAGACACAAGTTTTAAGGCAAGTAATATCCTGATTCATGTTTACCCAAGATTTCAGACACTAAGGTAATGGCACAGACGAATCTCTCCTCTTCCACCAGGAAGACTGTGAATAATTACCATGAGTCTTCATAAAGGTTTTTTAAAGAAATGTCTATGAAAAGATGTAATCATTTTCAATAATAACTGGCAAGAACTGAGCACTTTCAACATGCCCAGTAGAAATGCAAGGCTCATGGCTGTCTCTGGAACCGAATCCCACCTGAACCAGTGCATAGAAGATCTTCAAGATCTGTTTCTGGAGTAACACAGAATAATGGGAGGAATCAGGAAGGAGCTGCATGATCTGCTGCTGAATACACGGCAGAAATATCCGCATTGCTGCAATAAGAGGCTCTCTTTCTTCTGCTTTCTTATATCTACATGAGAAAGACAAAAAGAAATTTCTTCGCTCTTCCCCCCAGATCTATAAACAATAACTGAGAAATATTTCTAATTGCATAGAAACAAATCAACAACAACAAAGCCATACACTGCCTTATATTCTCTATCTGGACTGCTGAAATAGCTGAAAGGAGTTTTAAGGGCACATCTCCTTGTTTTAGGCAAGTTACCTAGAATCTTTCTAGAAAAAATAGTTTAAAAGGACCCAGGACTATCCTAAAAATTTCTTATGTAAATTTATCTAGCATTTAAATTAATTTTCATCAAACCACAATTTTTCTATAAAATAGAAGCTGATGTGTTTTTGTTTTTTGTTTTTGGGTTTTTTGAGACAGGGTCTCACTATGTAGCCCAGACTGGCCTCCAAATCATAACAATCTTCCTGCCTCAGCCTCTGCGTGCTGGGATTGCAGGCACACACCACCATGCCTGGCTCTGATGTTCTAGTTTACATGGACATTCACGTTACATAGCAAGTAACGTAGGGAGAGTTTTCCTATATTGTCCTGTGTTGAGAAGTTAGTGTTCTTAGATCACTTTAATTGCTATACATCTAAATTGTTCTCTAAAAATTCTACAAATACAATATGAACTGAACAATTTGATACAGAGAAAGCTATAGAGTTTTGTATGCAAAGGTAGCAATCCTCTCGAGAAGCCAAAAGGTACAATTAAATGTGATACTAGTCCTCCACCTCCCAAACTATCATGGAAAAGAATATCACTAACAGAGAAACTAACATTTCCCATCTTGCATCTAGAAAGATACTTAACTTGATTTACTTATAATCAAATGTTTAGATATGTCTATATCATAGGTTTTAGGGTAAGCTGTTAGTAAATGATGCTCTGAAACTAATAAATTTGAGAAGCACTGCACAGTATTATGTCTTGGAAATCAGCAATGTCACTAGAAAGTTCAAGCTTCTTCAATTAATTGCAGTCAAATGGTCTGGGGGTACAGCTCAGTGACAGACCAACTGCCTCAAACACACAAGGCCCTGAGTTAGATCCCCTGTAACAAACACATGTGCATGCACGCACAAACACAGGAAATAGAATAAACACAGTAAGTAAATACGTTCAATTGTGTTTAATGCCGCCTTGTCCAAGCTAATCTGATTCTGCAGAACACCCACAAACACACTTCCAAACACAACTTACTTCCAAAGTCACTTACTCATAAGTCTTCACCAGTTGATACAGACATAATAAACTGCCAAGCCAGCTTCCACTGTTCTGGGATTGCAAGTAATAGTCTATCTTGTCCACCACTGCTGGCCAGTGACCAGGAAAATCATGTTTAATGATGACACGAAGACACATTGTTAACTGGACTCTATAAGGTGAGGGAAAAGGCCAAAATTTACACAGTTATAAGTACCACGTGTCAAAGACTTCTACTATCTTACATAGAAGTACTCTTGCCCTCTATTTGCCCACGCTATCCAACCATAGTCATGCATCACTTGACAAGCTGGATAATGTTCTGAGAAATGTGTTAAGAAGGTGAGTTGCATTAACAACACAGAGTATACTCTCATAAAACAGGATGGCTACCTTCCCACCGAGTGACTGAGGGGCCACCGATGTTTTTGTGGTTGACCAAAACATCACTATGCAGCTCTTGGCTGTATCTACATGGATGGGAGGGGGAAAAAAGTAGTCCAATATAAAAACAAAACCTCCTCAATGGCCCCATTTATTTAAATAAACAGAATGGAGGATATCTTAAAGTAAATGAAACTTTTCAAACTGTGATTTTAAAAAACCTTAAAAATGAGTACATAAAAATTTCAAGACAATGAATCCATTAAAAACATGTATCATTTCAGACAAACCTTGTGGATAGGTGGCAGGAGTACGGGACATAGAGTAGAGACCTACACACTGCAGGACCCTCCTCCACGCACCACCATGACCACTGCCCCTCAGCAGCTGAGCCAGCCTGGTGGGCTGCACCTGCCAGAGCAGGCTGAGACACTAACTTCTGTTCTCTGAGCATAAGAAAGAAGCATGTATTAATTAGGCATCTCTAGGAAAACGAAGAGCTACTTTCAAAGAAATAAACGAGAAAAGCAACAGGAAAGGTATGAGCAGGAAAAGAGAATACGCCTTTAGTGAAAGCACAAAGTGAAGAGGTAAAAGATCTCCTAACACTTAGATCAGTAATCATTTCCTCAGTGGAATCTCAACTGTATTTGAGATTTAAAAAGAAATAAGGAAAAGCATCCCTTTTACAAGTTACAATTAATCTTATCACTAAATACAACCCACAGGTCATCTGCAAATGGTAAGAAAATTAACCTGGCAAAAAAGGATTCTATAGGGCAAAAGAAAAAAAAAAGTATTCAGTTGAGTAGCCAATAACTTGGATTCACAGGAACTGGTAAAATTATACAACATAATGGCTTTTCCTTATGTTGCAATATGTATTTGAAAATTTTCTTTCCAATGCTTTTAAGTAAATCTGGATAATGAGAAGACAAGTCAGTCTGCAGGGACAAATACAATTAAGTCTAAGACACAGAAGCAGCAAAGCCACAAAGAACCACGTTAAATAATAAAGACAGAGATTCCCTTCTATGCAATAGAACCCATGCTGTATTGCATAGAAGCAAGCTATCCTTTAACTGAGTAGTCATACTTCTATGCAATACAACCCATGAGGAGACTCTGCCCAAGGGGACTGGAGTGAATGGGAAAAAGAAAGGACCCCTGGATGCATGGTTACGTTTAGTGCAGAGCTGCAGGCCAAGAGTCAGCAGAATCAACAATTATTCTCAGAGATGTTTGACTGGCCACTGTGTGCCCTCTGCCTGGGAAAATTGCTTAAACTAGGTATACTTGTGTCATGTAACAAACCATCCCATTCCTGTCCCCTGACCAAAATTCCTATACAAATGTTACAAGTGCGTTTCTTCTGTCATTGTTCTTCTGTCCTTCAGTTACAAATAAATAAGCACAGAGGTCTCAGCTAGCTGCTGTTTCCTGAGGTTTTCTCACACAAAGAAGCAACCCGTCTGCATTTCTTGGTGACAGAGGTAAGCCTCACCTTAGATTACAACAATACTTCAGTGGTCAAACAGCTTCAAACTTGAACTTTCCAATACACATACAGCAAAGTTCAAAAAAGAAAATCTGCTGTGTTCATAAATTTGCTTAACAGTTGAACCAAAAGCTGACTTGAAGAAACCTACAAGGACCAAGTGAGTCACACATTGCCTCAGCACGGACACAAAGGGGTGACACTTGTCTAAGTGCTGCTCTCACCCAGACAACACAGAATGCTTGTGTAAGTGCGTTAAAATATTTGTCATTGTGATTTTTGTGTGTGCTTTATTCACATAAAACATGGTAACATGGCTCTGAAGAAAGTAATACCAGGAGTAATAAGAGGAAAACTGTGAGAACTATGATAGAGTTAGAGAAATCACTGCAAAATGTGTTAAAGTCCTGGGAAAATGTATTGTAAGTGTAATTTTTAGGCCTCAGAACCAAATATTTGGTTTTCCATTATTTCTTAAGGGGAAAATGCATTCAGTTCTTGCAAATTTGGAAGGAACTAAGTCCGACAACTCAGGCATCACTGTAATCTTCATCCTCTGTGTAGAGGCACAGTCGCACACTGTGACAAGTGATGCCCACAATGGGGCACAAACTCATGTATGAAGCACAGATACAGCAGGGCAGCACTAGGATGGAGAAAACTGCAGGGCTAAGCCTGCAGCTACAAACAGCGTAGGGGAACAGAGTCCCACAGCCTGAAAACGGTCAGGACATCCAACTCTTCACATTAGTCTCAGGAAAGGAGACACAGCCTCCATGGAATAGTCTGGAACATGTTGGCAAAGCTGCAGCCCAGATTCTGCAACTCAGAGGGTATCGCTGTCTGACTGCTTACTGAGCGGGGGCAGTCTATCTTCACAAACTCTTCCTCTTATCTTCTCTTTCATCCCCTCACTTCAGTTTCATCTTGAGATCACCTAGAGAAATCCTAGCTGGTCAATTACTAGCTAAGAGGGGGACACTGTTTCTCATTCTACTCATTTACTTTCATTTTTCATGCTTTGCCTATGACATGGGTCAGACTTTAAAGAGAAAAAACGACTCAAACAACATTTACAATGTCTCTTAAACACATCTGACTGCAAATAAATAAATACATACATAAATAAATAAAAGGAAATAGAAAAAAAAAGACCAATAAAAGGCTAACGGCAACAAAAGTCAAGACAGTAAAACATGCTGAGAACAGATTCATTAGGGACATGAAAATTCCCATCAGCACTGCTACAAAACTCAAGTATGGCCAATTACAACACCTACAGATGTTCATTTGAGCTGAACAATTTTTTCTTTTTTCTTGGCTGGAGATTTCCATGGAAAACTGTTTACATGTTTTCAGACAGAACCTTATCTCAAATGCTTGATATCAAGAAAATTTAGTTCTATAAATGCTCTGCCAATTGTCTGCATGCAATCATTTCAAAGTTTTTTTCATTGGTATCAACAGATAACATAAAAGTGGTGAGAGCAAATATCCCAAACAGAGGAAAAGCTCTTATGGGTTAGAAATTAAAACAACACAGCTTATCAACTCCAGTATGGGCATCAACACTCTTGTTTTGTTTTGTTTTTGTACCAGGAATCAAACTGAGGACCTTGCACTTGCCAGGTGGGCACAGTGCTGCTTAACTCTATCCCCAGCTCAGCACCAGTCTTGCAAGAGTATCAATGTCAGATATGGCACCCATCTTATAATCTAGTGGGGGGCAGTTAGGCTGGAGGATCGCAGTGAGTTAGAGGTTAGCCTGGGCTACACAAACAAGTTCAAGGCCACCCTGCACTATATAGTGAGACCTTGTCTGAAAAAAAAACAGCCAAGCATAGTGACACAAAACTGTAATCCCAGCACTCAGGAGGCCGAGGCAGGAGGATTGCTGTGAGGTTCAAGGCCAGCCTATGCCACAAAGTAAGCTCAAGGCCAGCCTGACTACATAATGAGGTCCTGTCCCAAAGAGACAAAAAAAAGTATAAACCACAGTGTTGCTTTCACTGCCTAGAGTACAATTTGGATCTAAACAAGTAAATCATTTCTTTTGCAGTCTGGGGCTCACCTGGAAAATTCTGTGCCTATCCCACCCTCTTTTGGAGTGGTCCACTCTGAAAGAATTTTCTACGTCTGCACAGAAGCAATAGAACACCTGAGACCAATGTTCTAAAGACAGCAAATCCAATGCAGAGAGAGATAAAACACACACTTGTGATGACCAAATAACCTTTCACACAAACCAAAATTTAAAAATTAGACTAGCTGGCTGTGGTGGGGCACCTGTCACCCCAACACTTGGCAGGGTAAGGCAGGAGGATAGCGTTGAGTCTGAGGCCAGCCCTGGGCAACACAGCAATATCCCATTTCAAAAAATCTTAAAAAAAAGAAAAAGAAAGAAAATTTATCTATAAACATGACCTCTTAAATGTGTAGGAAAGCTGCTCTCAGAGTACACATAAAACTTCCATTAGAGGGGATCAAGAAAAACTCAAGTCACAGGGACCAACCAAAAACAACAAACAATCTAGAGCTTAGAAAACAAGACAGGTAAAGGAAACTCTTCCTGGAACACTTGCCCCAGATGGTTTGCTGGACATAAATGTATTTCCTGAATTTACAGGAGCCTATTGTTACAAATCTTGGTGAAGTGGTGAATTTACTTTTGGTTTTCAACTTAAATTGGTATTTTGTTTAACTGACATGCTTACACATTTCCCAAGCTTTGTAACTTCTGGGACTACAATTGCAGGGTTAACACACACTTTTGCTGCTTTTATAAAGGGCCCAATGCTTGCTGGCAGCCAAATTTACAACGAACAGGATACAGGGGAATAGAGACAGACAGACAGACAAAAAGGGCACTTTAAAAGCCAAGCAGCAGTTGCCAGGTTTGCTATAGAAAGATTATGGTATAGAAAATAAATGATAAAGAAAGCTATATGTAAAGAGGTATTTTTGATATAAGAGGATTCTGCATGGTGAAATTCTTGCCTTACCAGAAAGAAATGGGGAAATGATGGCAAAACGAGGAAGCTAAGTATGTTGACAGGATGTTTGTGGAAGATGCAGCTTATAGAAAGGATGTGTATGTTTAGTTATTTTGAATTTCTTAACCAGGTGTGGTGGCTCACGTCTGTAATCCCAGCACTCAGAAGACTGAGGCAAGAAGATTGCCATGAGCTCAAGGCCAGCCTCAACTACCCAGCAAGACTATCTCAAAAAGTTTTTTTTCTTTGAAAAGTTCCTTGCCGCTCAGAGGTGCCTCGGGGACTATGGCTCTGTCT